CTTTTTCTTTGTTTTTAGCTTTTTACCATTGCTTTAAATTAAATATTTACATGGTCAGAAATGAGTAGGTAATTGAGCGAAAAGGTAATGAGAGTGAGATTGAACAGAGTGAAGGAAGTGGTCTTCAATCTCACGCCTGAGTGATTTGCAGGAACCTCTGTCCACCTGTAAATGCGCAAGTGGGTCCAGAGTTTAACTGGATCAAAGTGGCCTGCGGACAGACATGTCCTGGTTTCTCTGTAGTGTACGAAGGTTTTTGGAGTTTCAGTGGACCCAAAGATTGCTATGGACCTGAGTACAGACTAGCTAGAGAGAGTAGATTAAGTTTACTTCTTTGTTTATTCTCTTTTCAAAATAATTGTAACTCAATTATTTGCTCAACCCCTCGGACTGTTTTTATTTTCCATTTAACTCTTTTAACACTGTAACTTTTATTATATTTTAATGTGTATTTTTTCAAATCCCTATGTTGCTTTTAAATTTTTTTATATTTCCCTGTTGCTTTTATGTTTTATGTAAAGCACTTTGAATTACCTTGTTGTTGAAATCCCCCACTGTGACCCATCCCCCAATGTGTCCCTGAGCAAGACACTTAACCCCTAGTTGCTCGAGAGGCGTGCAACCTCTGACGATGTATAGCAATTAAGTCAGTCGCTTTGGATAAATGTAAATGTAACACAGTGTGTTAGAACGTATGTCAATTCTTGTGCCATTTCCATTTTTTAAACAAACTAGTTGCCTAACATCCAGTAGTTCTTCCACTGCTTCTCCATTCCTATCAGTATGCTTACTTTCCCAAAGACTATTATGTGCATTAAAGTCTCTGCACCATATTTCTTTCCCCTTTCCTTGTCTCCTTATTATTTCCTCTAAGGTTTCTAGGCTTAATGATTTACAAAGGGTTAAATAAGTTGATTACTACCAAGTGCCCATCTGATTTATAAATTTCAGTAATCACACATTCTATTTCTTTTGTAGTTGCTATTCATCCAAGTAGTATCCCATCCCTCACATACTCCAAACTGATTTTCACCTCTATCAAACCTAACAGACTCATAACCAGGTTGCCCCCAACAGTGGATGTCTGGCGAGCTTATAAAGCTGTGGATCGGATCCAATGCGTGGTATGATAGTCCGGTCAAGAGTTACTATTATCTCCTGAAGTTTCTTTTGGTGGGAGACAGCAGAGTCGGAAAGGGGGAAATCTTGGACAAGACGGATCAGTAGAGTCCCCCTATGACTATCACAGGGGTAAATAACTATCTCTGCTTTAGTTCAGTTGTTTAGAACTGAATTATAAAGACCTTTTTAAACATTGACAACAACTCTGTGTGGAGGGATTGATTACAAGAGCACCACTATTCTGCTGGATGGGAGGAGAGTGAAATTAGAGTTATGGTAAGAGTTTTTAGCAACACAGCGTAATGGGAATTCCAAAGATATTGCATGTAACCCTGGACTCAGGGAGACTCATGTGTGACGTGGCACTGAATCTGTGTAAACGTAACAGTTGAAATATCTCTGTTCTCTGTGTTATCCAGACTTCAGGGACAATGAGTCTCTGTGGGATATGATTGACCCTATAAATGACAGGCTCACCCAGCTCTCCTCACTCATTCGAGCATACACTTATGCGTGTTGCTGAGAGTTCTGCAGAAGACTTTAATAAAATTCACAGAAAGACAAGTGTTTGCCTGAGCTGTTTCTTTGAAAACTTAAATTGCCATCACAACAGACTGATCAAATCAATAATGGCTGCAGTAGTAGTGAACAAATCCACAGCATATTGGTCTTCTTACATGCTTATGTGCGTTTGTTTTCACAACAGGACAAGGCAGATTCTGCGCCATCTTCAGGTCTTACTCTCGTGGGGCACAGGTGAGGACGTTTGAGAGCAATTGTGGTGGTTTTCCTTCATTATGTAATTTTGTATGAATGTCAACATGTTTGGCTTTCATTCCATAGGACATACTGCTCGTGTATGACATCACTAACGGCTGGTCATTTGATGGATCTGGGAAATTGATGAGGAAATCCCATTCAACCCATTTATGGTTACAAAGAAACACAGCAAATGAATGGGGTGAGGGAAAATCCTGTATATCCATCCATCAATGAGAGAGACTATTGTCTGTTAGTTAGTGCAGCTTAGACTGAGAGATGCGGGATAGCTGTTAGAAATCCTGTTTGAGATACAACAAAATTTGGTTACATCACCTAAATATAGCAACAATATTGCTTATTTCCATCAGCACGCCCCTGGTGTACCCAGGATCCTAGTGGGCAACCGGCTGCACCTGGCTTTCAAGCGACAGGTGCCAACGGAGCAGGCAAGGGCGTATGCAGAAAAGAACAGCACGACATTCTTTGAGGTCAGTCCGCTGTGCAACTTCAACATCATCGAATCCTTCACAGAACTTTCACGCACTGTGCTGATGAGGCACAGGATGGAGAAATTCTGGAGGACCAACAGAGGTCCATCCATCTATCCGTCAAACGCTTATCCTGCGTACAGGGTTGCGGGGGCCCAACAGAGGTGAGCTGGTTAATCATGTTTGCATACAAGTTCTGTTAAACGTTTTTATTTTTTTTACCAGTTCTGTGAGAGGATTGAATGTTTTTTTCATTTTATGAAAACAGTCAGTTCTCACAAATGATAGAGAAAAGCAGCAGAAAGTTTCAGTTGTATTTGTCTTGATTTTGACATGTTCACCCCCGAAGTATGTCGCGCCACACCAATGCAGTGGACATGAATCAGCTTGGCCTTTTGTGATGTCCAAATAGTACAGTTTATAGACACACTGAGAAATATATATTTATTGAAGAGTAATGTGGAGCTCTGACGCCTTTAAGGGAAAAATTAGGGAGTGTGTCTAACATCCATATCCCTTCTTCTTTATTGTTGAGCAGTAATAAATGGCATTTGACATACAATATAATCACAGAATTGAGGAAAGAAGATGCTTCAAGGCCATCGAGGAAGCAGCTTCTTTCTTACTTGCTTTGCATCGTTGTGAGCTTTGCCATAAAGTATATTTTACATATAATTGCAAGGGTTTTCATTCAATCTTTTGTTCTTATATATATATCATATTTGTAACAATTCTTTATGCTGTTTGACTTATTCACAGACAGTATTGACGATGCACAGCACTCTGCTGCGAGTGTTTGTGGTGGCTCTGGGTCTCCTAACGCACCCAAGAGATGACCCCGGGGTTGAGGAATGGGGTGATATCACCACAGTGGGCATGCAAAAGCATGAAGAGAGGCTGCTGAGAGGAGAAGAAAAACTGGACCATGAAATGGCACATATCAGTAAGGAAAGGATGTATGCTGGGCCTGGAGATGACACTCCCAAGGAACTTGTTGATCAGTCTGATCAGCAAGTTACTGAAAAAGATAAAATGTCAGACTTAGATGATGTGAATGTCATAAAACAGCAATCAGAGGAAGACAATGTTGATCACAAATTACAAGAAGGGGGATATTTTATAGCAGATTTGGATCAGCACCAAAACTCCAAAAGTGAAGGTGAGACTGCTCTGAAAACATCACAAATTGACCATGAGCAAAAGGGAAATTTACAGCTGGACAAGAGGAGTAAACAGGGAGAAGATGACTCTTTTACAGACCCAAGCGGACCACACAAGCAACAGGAAAAGCCCGAAGAGAAGGAAATGTTCAGCTCCAAAGAACAAGAATCACCTCTGTCACACCTTCACACCAAGACATCAGAAAATGAAACTTCAGAGAACACAATCGCTGACTGGGAGGGGGATTATCTCTGGTACTCATGGAACATATTCTCCATCATACGCTTCTTCAGGAAGTAACTAGGGAGAAATTCCCAAATGAAGATAGAAGAAACCAGGACCTTCCCAGTGACCTGCATGGCTGCTACCAGACAGCCACGCTCTGCAGCCATTTCATTCTAAATGTATTCAAGTATCATCCAATAACAAGTGGAGGGAGGATGAGTTTTTAGAGGGGTTTGCAAATGATCTATTGGATGCCAAGAGGAGTGTGTGATATCATTCCTTTTAGCCCACTTGACCTGTATAACCTGTCCAAAATGGCTGCCACTGTCAGTCTCCCAATGCAGATGATATGCCTGCTGCATTGTGAGACTGAGAAAGTAACGATGAAAATTACTGATGTTTGTGATGGACCAGATGGTTTCAGAGCGCTAACAAACAAGCGTGGGCACTGATTTCACATAAGTATCAGCTTAACAGCCGCTACATTGCCAGTCATTCGATTTAGATCAGTGAAGAAGCTAAGCTTCAGTATGAATCCTGTGGTTAAATTCAAAACCGATGCTCATTTCTTCATTACTCCTTGCTCCCCAAAGAACTTGGATACTTACTGGACACTCCCTGACAAGCCATCTTGATAGTTTCTTTGAACACATGTCTAGACACCTGCCTGGAAATTCATGCCACAGTCAAACTCTTGAAATTGCCCAGTTCCTTCACCGGAAGGAGGCAGCACTGTCTGGAAGTAGTGTGCTCAAGGAGGTTCATTTCAAAACTGCACTAATGCATCTGCTGTTGACCAGAGACCCATCACAGTGGAAACCCAACATGGGGACTTCCATGCTACGAGATTTGTTGGCCTTCATGGAGAGAAGCCCTGAGAACAAGCAGTTGAACCATGCCCTTATTGGGAACCCCTTGACACAGAAAATTGAACTTCCTGCTGAATTCACTAAAGCAAAGACTGAATCTCTTTCATCCCCTTGTGGTACACAACTGCATCTACAGAGATGCAGTGACACATTTTCACTTACCATGTACCAGTGTACAGACAATGCCAGTTGTGCCATTTAAAGTCATAAGCATTAAGATTTTAAATTCTGCTTTTATTCTCTTCTGTCAGAGTGAATGAGTTATGTCATGATAATAGCAAGTGATCCATTTCTCATTTAAAAATCATGTCTACATAATTCTGTCAGTAATCATTTTCCCATTGCTTTAAGTCTTCATGCTCTGCCACGTCAAGGGAATTCATCCGAGGGTCAACCGCTGCATAGTCATCCTTGCCGCTTGCGACGACCTCCCAAGAGTGACTTGAGATCATACCCCTAGAAGCTGTAAAAATACAAGAGGATAATTGTCAGAGAGTAGCTTTCAGTAAGGAGTCATTTTATGCTTTGATTCTGCATGATTGTCAAGGGATGAGTACTTTTGGATTTGCATCAGTATTGCCTGTAGAAAGTGAACGCTTCAAGAATTGACTGCCTAGGAACAGCTCTGTGCCAAGTCAGGGAGCATGTCTGAAGTTACTGCATTTCATACCAAGATGTCCTCAAGACCCCTCCCCAACAGACAGACAAGTTGAAGACGTACCCTTAGGCTGTGCCAAGGAGCAGGTCGAGTCACAGCAGGTGCACACGGAGTCATCAGAGTACAGCTCCTTCCACCTAAACCATAACAGTTGTCAGCAATATTAGATGGCAAACTTGATGGACAAAGCAGATCACAGTGAGCACAGCTGGAAATACACATACGAGTTCTTTTGGCAGTCAAGTACACATGAAACACTTCCTCCTACAAGACCTTCAAAAGCAAGCTACACCTGTGAGGTTTTACTTTAGCCAGAGTCAACTCACGTTTTGGTCGCTGGATCATAATTGCAAGCCTTTGAGCCCTGAGTTGGAGTACGTGTCCCCACAGAGATCTCGCAGTGCATGTAGAGTTGCTGAAAGACATGAGCATTAATGGCTACATGTGTTCATTATTTGACAGCATTGAGCTCTGTACCACTACCTCTTGACAGTACCTGTGAGGAGGAAGCGAAACGCCATTCTTGAAAATCAAGGCACCCAGACTGAATTTCTGGACCATCTCTGAGGCGCCAGCGAGGAACCTTGACTGTTCGTTCTCTTTGCCATCAATCATGCACCTGTCGAGAAGACACATTTACCTCCAACCACCAAGTGACAGGCCCATCTTATACTGAAATCATTTCAAACCTTACCCTTGGTTGTCAACGACCGTATATCGAGGATTTGAATTGGGGTCTCGGGAGGCTGTCACAAAGCACTTGTCGATGTATATCCTCTGGCCTCCCAACTGTGCAGTGCGGTCAGGTTGCGTGGCCTCAAAGTACATCGGCTCGCCCAAGGTGAAGGTTTTGGTTCCAGTGATTTCATTACCTGATGCTGTGGCAAAGTGAGGGACATCACTTGACAATAGAGACACAGGGCTGCTGCATACATTTGCTATGCAAGTAATACATTTGGTTCCTTTAAGCTCCAGCAGAATAGGCAGTGATGAGTTCTGAGTACTTGTAGAACATGCTTTAGTATTTTATGCTGGCATATTTTGAGTACACTTACAAATGCTTGACAGATCAGGTGCTAGGGTGCCTTTTCTAAAATGGTAAATATTTGACTCCAGGGTTTGTCTAGCTTTGGATTCATTTAACAGCTTCCCATTTGTGTCAATACAGGTGTGCATTTAGCTCCCCATGTAATCCTTGTCCACACAAGTTTTGTCAGACATCTTTGTTGCCCATTAAAGAACCTGATTTATACCACCTCAGAAGTACGTCATCATCCACATTAACCTCACCATGTTACAAAACTAAGGATAATGTACATTTTGTAGCGCTCCCTCTTCTGTCCAAGTTGCACATCTATACTTGGAGCAGCACTTTCCTAGCCTGGTTAAGTTTAGAAATGTGCATTTGCAAGTTAGCACTCCTTTCTGCACTTCAGAGCTCCTAATTTCAAAAAAAGAGATGGTGCTTCTGATAACAGGCCTTGTGCTGAAAATGCATTTAAAACATGGGAACATACCATCTTGAGGAGTAAGGGTGAAACTAGTTTTAGGTTGGAGTCGTTTGAAAACTGCACCCATGCGATCAGGATAGAAGCCAACTTTATAGGAGTGGAAAAACCTGCAATAGTCAAGTGAAAACTCACAATACAAAATTTGAAAACCGAAGTCATTGATTGCCCTGTAGTCTTGCAATGTCCTTGGTCTTAAATGCTGGTAGTTAAGATTTGTAATAGAACTAAATTACACAATCATAATACTAAAGAAGCTAATCTAAATCTTACCTGGGATAGTTACAGTTCAGGGGAATATCAAATGGCATTTCCCTTAAAACTGGACCGGTTGGCCTGTAGTGGAGCACATTGCTAAAGGACAGATAATCTGGATGACTCTGGAACATAAACATTCACATGTTGGTTGCAGTCACAAACTAGAACTAACTGAATGATACAGCAATTGAGGGAACAGCTTTACCAACCTTTTTCTCAAATCCACAGTCAGTTCTCAGAAGGTACTCAAGGTAGTAATGTTCTTTGGTACCTTTGTTAACAGGACAGGTGCCTAGTTTCAAGTATTTGTATGCGTCACGAGTCTTAAAGACCTCTCTCCTGATTCTCACATACATTCTGTCAACATGACACAGGATTTCAACCAACTTTGTCCCGGCTGTTGCGCCAATTGCCGGAGTAGGGGCAGCAGTCACAAGTAACATTTCGTTAGCCAAGTTAGGGAGGCTTCTGGCACCCTGTTCTGGCTTGAAAACCTGTTTCAGGGTCTGAGAGGCTGGGACAGCCAGATACTGAGGAACATTTTTGGCTTCAGGTGATCCACTACCTGATGCACTCCTCAACAATTTGGTTTCAGGTGCAGGGGCTGGTGTCATTTCTTTACTCATCATTGTCTCCATTCTCACCCACACTAATTCAGGATCTTCCAAAAATAGGCCATCCTCAGATCTACAGGCAGAACAAAACAGCAACAACAAACACACAGCAGGTACTAACTCCATTTTCACTCCAGCAGCTGCCTTCAACTACAACTGACCCCTAACCTAAACAGGGCATGTATGATGGTAGTGTTTCACCTGGCTTTTATGTTCGGCACTTAAGAGATAATTCACACAGCTGCTGTAAATTCCAATCAAGAACAACCAATGAGAGGTCACCAATAATAATCCCCCTTAACGGCTTCCTTTCTCTGTAAAGGCCCATGTGTCATACACCAGTGTGGGTTTGCAAAGTGCATGTGTCATTTCTAAACCAATTGTACAACGTGCAAAATAAAGTATAAATTAAGTCAGTCCCTTCAGTTTACTCAGTAGGCAGGGTTAACTTCTCCTCCCTCTCTGGTGAGGCAGCAGGAGAGCATTTCTACCCACGTTTCAGTAAAACGTGTGGGCTATCATAGCCTCTATGGACAGATCAGTTGCTTCATTATTAATGAAGTATCTTGTATTGAATATTAAATAAATCGAGACATAAAACTACAATAATAATTGTTCCTTTTATTATTTTTTAAAAGCGTAACCGGATGTTACGCAGCGCATGATGCCGCTACCAGGAAGTTCCAACACAGTCCTGTTAGCTGGACGTTGTGCTCGGAGGCTATAAATCCCTCGTTGGCCTTTTCATTTATTAACAAAGTGAAACAATCGTATTTGGTTTGGAAGAGTATGGTTCAATGTAGGATGACACAGTCTTGCTTTTACTTTGTATCCCCTGTTTGTGCTAAAATGCGTTGTTGTCGTTCTGTTAGCCGGCTAGCTAACAAGCCAGCTAACAGTTAGTTAAGGTTGTTTTGATGAATAACTTATTGTGAATAGTAACGTCAGCGGCGGCTGGACTCCAGTGCTAGTAACGTACACTGAAAGGTTTGTTTGGATTTAGTCCAGTCTTATCAGGAAATTCTATTTTATGTGTTAGCCGTTACTAAGGAGAGTTAATGTAAATCGTGGGTAGTGCACCAGCTAGCTGGTTAGTCGACATCAAACGGCGGTCGCTTTGCTTCAGCTACCGCAGCTGGGGACCGTCTGAGTTGTCCCTTGCCCCCAATAGTGGACGTCTGGCGAGCTTATAAAGCTCTCTGTCGATCGGATTCAATGCGTGGGATGATGGGGACCCAGAGTAGTCCGGTCAAGAGTTACGATTATCTCCTGAAGTTTCTTTTGGTGGGAGACAGCGATGTCGGAAAGGGGGAAATCTTGGACAGTCTGCAAGACGGATCAGTAGAGTCCCCCTATGCCTACAGCAGTGGTGAGTAACTATCTCTGCTTTTGTTCAGTTGTTTAGAACTGAATTAAAAAGACCTTTTTAAACATTGACTAACTCTGTGTGGATTGTGTGCTATCTCAGGGATTGATTACAAGACCACCACAATTCTGCTGGATGGGAGGAGAGTGAAATTAGAGTTATGGTAAGGGTTTATAGCAACACACACTGATGAAATAAATAATGGCTGCAGTAGTAGTGAACAAACCCAAATCATATTGGTCTTCTTACATGCTCATGTGTGTTTGTTTTCACAACAGGGACACATCAGGGCAAGGCAGATTCTGCACCATCTTCAGGTCTTACTCTCGTGGGGCACAGGTGAGGACGTTTGGAGGGCAGTTTTGGTGGTTTTCCCTCATTATGTAATTTTGTATGAATGTCAACATGTTTGGCTTTCATTCCATAGGGCATACTGCTCGTGTATGACATCACTAACGGCTGGTCATTTGATGGTATTGACCGCTGGATCCGGGAAATTGATGAGGTAATCCCATTCAACCCATTTATGGTTGACAAAGAAACACAGCAAATGCATGGGGTGAGGGGAAAATCCTGTATATCCATCCATCCATGAGAGAGACTATTGTCTGTTAGTGCAGCTTAGACTGAGAGATGCGGGATAGCTGTTAAAAATCCTGTTTGAGATACAACAAAATTTGGTTACATCACCTAAATATAGCAACAATATTGCTTATTTCCATCAGCACGCCCCTGGGGTACCCAGGATCCTAGTGGGCAACCGGCTGCACCTGGCTTTCAAGCGACAGGTGCCAACGGAGCAGGCAAGGGCGTATGCAGAAAAGAACAGCATGACTTTCTTTGAGGTCAGTCCGCTGTGCAACTTCAATGTCATCGAATCCTTCACAGAACTTTCACGCATTGTGCTGATGAGGCACGGGATGGAGAAATTCTGGAGGCCCAACAGAGGTGAGCTGGTTAATCATGTTTGCATACAAGTTCTGTTAGATAAGCAATGTTTTTTAACCAGTTCTGTATGAAAACAGTCAGTTCTCACAAATGATAGAGAAAAGCTGCAGAAAGTTTCAGTTGTATTTGTCTTGATTTTGACATGTTCACCCCCGAAGTATGTCGTGCCACACCAATGCAGTGGACATGAATCAGCTTGGCCTTTTGTGATGTCCAAATAGTACAGTTTATAGACACACTGAAAAATATATATTTATTGAAGAGTAATGTGGAGCTCTGACGCCTTTAAGGGAAAAATTAGGGAGTGTGTCTGACATGACATCAAGTCTTAACATCCATATCTCTTCCTCCAGTCTTCAGCCTCCAAGACCTGTGCTGCCGTTCGATCGTCTCCTGCACACCGGTGCACCTTATTGACAAACTGCCCCTCCCTGTGGCCATCAAGTCCCACCTCAAGTCTTTTTCTATGGCCAACGGCATGAATGCAGTCATGATGCATGGACGCTCCTACTCTGTGGCCAACAGTGCAGCCTCAGGCGCTAGCAGCGGTGGAAGCAAAGCCAACAGCCTCAAACGCTCAAAGTCCTTCAGGCCTCCACAGAGCCCTCCAAAGGACTCGTCGTCTTCCTCTAAGGGGAACTGTAAGATTTCATAGTGAAGGAGCGAATTACTGGTTGCCTCCGTGGGGCCAGTATTAAAGGTGTTGTTGCTCCAAGATGTCATTAGACCGTAGAAGAGCGTGGAGAGCTACCAGAAACCTTCAACAGTAACAGATATCTCTGTGAACTTAACATCGACAGACTTGGATGGTAGGACTGGTTTCTGTTTTGTGCTTGCTGGTGCCATCTTGTGGATATCCGTTTACCTGTACTCTTTACTACAGAAGCTCACTGTGATCAAGTACAAGAACAAGATTTCCCTGGGACCAATAGATGTGAATCAAGGATTATCACTCACCTTTTAACACTACAAATGAGTGGAGGGACATTAGCTAGCTTTTATTCGGAAAAGGATTGTTTATTGTATTTAAAGTTGGACTTGAAGTTGTAAATATACAGTATGTGCTTTTTGTTTTGGTCTGTGTTTGGTAATTGGTCTCCAGATTGACCAGCTTTTTATGCTCGTTTTGTCTTGAATGTTTTCGGAGACCTGCTTTGGTGTACAACTTATCTGTGTGTCTTTTGCCTTTTGTCTACCATAAGAAAAAGATCCCTTTGCAGCCTCAAAGATGCTGAGCTACTATTTAAAACTCAGCTTTAGTTAAGTTTTAAAGAAGACTGGTTTAAATTGAATGTCATGAGAAGAGCAGGGCTAGTTTTCCAGACAGACTAGTAGTAGACTTAAGAAAAATGTAAAAAAAACAACAACCCAACTATCCATCAAAAACCCCTCTTAGTCTAGCACTACTTAAACTGTCGAACCAACTTGTCTTGTTTAGAAGACTTCCTGCTGTGCCCCTAAATTCCAGCCCAGATGAATTCACCCTCCATCTCCATTAATCATTGGTTTGAACATCTGCTGAATTTCTCGGGCCATTCTTTTTGACTCTAATCTAATATCCTTAGTGGTATCATGGCTTTAACTGGTTTAAACCACCAACAGCATGATTAATTAAAATTTATGAACTCTGGGGCAATTGAGACATCGCCTGGTGTCGATGAGGAAACCTTGTACAAACTCAGATGTACAGATTAGTTTGCTCAGCCGTGGTGTTTTTCTTTCAGAAAGTGCTGCAGTGGTATCACATTATTAGGATTTTGTAAACTCACTAGACATTAGTGAGAGGAATATTTAAATTTGACTGCTGTTTGGATTTTTGTATATGCTATGTATTTATGAATGTAAAACAATATTCATCTGCTACTTTTCTGTGGCATTGTGATAATATGTGACTCAGAATCAGAGGTGGAAGGTCATTGGGTACATCTGCTACTGTAATATTCTTACTGAGTGTTGCTTACTGTCTGAGTATTAGTACTTTTGTTGCTCAAGTTAATTCTTATTTTCTCCAAAAATGTATTATTGGGTGAACAATGCAAGTACCATGTAATTAATGTGAGAAAGTCTTGTTCAATCAAAGCTAACTAATATTGTTTTAATAATTGATTAAGCTACTCAAATACTTGTATTCTGATATAAACTCTCTCTTTCCACCTCTGTTCCACTTCAACATTCTCAGTATGTCTGAGGTCATCCAGGGCATAAACATTGGTGCATGTTTTCTACTGGATCCTGTTTTCTGTGGTGTGTTGACACCAGTACAATAGGCAGAACTCGTGGGTGAGCATTTAAAGCACTATATGTAAACATTTGATAATGATTGTTGCTATCAGATCTGTGTGTCGGAGTTGGTTTGGATACGGGCTTAGTTATAATTTTGTCTCCATCAAAAAAACAGTCGCCCATCAAAATAAAGGGTAAAAACTACCAAGTGCTCTCTGCGTTTTCATGAACTTGTGTGCTCTGCTGCTGCAATGAGTATTCCTTCCAACATTTATCAAGATCTTTGTGGGAATATTTTCGTATCCCTTTGTCCAGTCCGGGGCCGCCGGTGCAAGTGCAATAAAACACGTGGGGGTGCTGAATTGATTAGCTGCTCTCTCGGTATTGGCCAGTTTTGGATAACCGGCACATCGCTGCAGCGCATGAATGCAGTGCGGTCAAAAGTCATCCAAGGGTTGCAGGGTCACTCCCAATGAAAAGATGAGGGGTGCTGCTTCTCATCGCCTCGGAGCTTCGCCGGGACAAAGATGAACCTCGCACTATTGAAAACGTGGCGCTTTACGCCTTCCCACCTGACCGTGGCATCTCTGAGCTCCGTGTGAATGAGGGATGGTAGTAAATTGACCGACGTCTAGACAAGAAGGACGTAAACAACAGGTTTGGCCAGACTTGATGCGACACGCCCCGTGTTTGGGTTTCACGCTTTCCGCCGTGCACTCTGGGCGGCTTTTTACAGTTTGCTCTTTGATTTGCGCAAGAAAACTGGTGTCTGCAGAAGCCTGTGTTGCGTTAAACGCATAGGATGTGTAGCCCAATTATAACCGAAGATGAAATGATAACCAACTACATCAGTTCTCAGTGAGAAAACAAGCTCATTGCCTTATTTATGAATGACACCTCTATAAATTCTGTCTGGATACAATTTAACGTTGGATTTCTCACCGGAATGTGTAGCTCCGTGCGCACGACTGTTGGGACAGCTTGCCAACACGGCTCCACGTTTTCTTTGATGTTTTTACAATGTTTGTCCAGTTGCTTAGCGAATGGTGCTGCTTCATAAGATTTTCAGACACAGGACGACCGCGGGGGCGGTCAGAGGGGCTGCCCTTTCCACCTCCATTCACACTCTGAAAGGCTGATGTTGCGTCTTTCTCTCTCATTGTGGGGCTTCGTTCGCTCATTTCGCTGTTCGGGGAAATCGACGTGAGCGAGAGTTTGCCCATTGTGGCAAGAGTTTCGTTTTGGTTATCAAGGCAAACATTTTATGCAACCCAATTACATTTTCAAACGCGTTTATGGGATAGATTGTTCTTCAGTAAAACGCGTATGGGGACCGCTGCAACTCTCCTCTGCGCACAGCAAACGGATTGCCGCAATGTTTACGCACAAAGCGGACGACGACATTTGAAAATCGACGTTAGACTTATTCCGAATTTGAAGACCTAAAGGAGGAATGGATTTACTCGGTGGGCGACTCATGCAAAAGATCAATAATGTATAAAATCCCTCTACAACTTTTGGAGGACAGGTGTGTAAAGGACCGAAGTTGGCATATTGCACACCACTCAAATAAACTAGTGTTAGGATGGATCCATGCGTGTTTGTTGATGCTCTTGGTTTGCGAATTACCCGAACTTTCTTTGTGTGCAAGTGTGTCAGGATCCAAAGTTGAACACGAAGGATTTTGTCCTAACAAGCTGAATTCAAATCTCTGGGTTGATGCGCAAAGCACCTGCGAGAGGGAATGCAACGTCGACGAGGTGGGGTTATGTATTTATCCCCATTAATGTTAAATTTGTACTCATCTGTTCATTTTGTGTTTTGATCATTTGAATCTGCTTTGATACATGCTGTTTTGTGTGTGCATTGTGTCTGTGCAGGACTGTGCTGACTTTGAGAAATGCTGCACCAACGTGTGTGGCCTCAACAGCTGTGTGGCTGCACGTTTCTCTGATGGCACCCCTGCCCGGCCAGATGGGCAGGGTGGAGGAGAAGGAAGTGATGCCCCCGTCTCCACAGCTACATGTGAGGGCTTTGTATGCAGCCAGCAGGGAGCAACATGTGACATCTGGGAAGGACAGCCCATCTGCAAGTGCCAGGACCGGTGTGAGAAAGAGCCCAACTTCACCTGCGCTTCAGATGGCCTCACCTATTTCAACCGCTGCTACATGGATGCGGAGGCCTGCATCCATGGGGTGACTTTAACTGTGGTCGCATGCCGCTTCTACCTGGCAGGCCCCCACACCAGCCCACTGCCTCAGGGCACTACAGCTAACCCCACTCCGACAACCTCCCAGGAGGACCCCATGCCACCCACACTATACTCCAACCCTCAACACCAGTCCATCTATGTCGGAGGCACAGTCAGCTTCCACTGTGATGTTATTGGAGTCCCCAGACCTGATGTAACATGGGAGAAACAGAGTGAAAGGCGGGAAAGGCTGATCATGAGGCCTGACCAGATGTATGGCAATGTGGTTATCACCAACATCGGCCAGCTTGTCATTTACAACGCGCAGGTGTGGGATACAGGTATCTACACCTGCATCGCACGGAATCCTGCTGGAGTTCTTCATGCAGACTACCCGCTGTCTGTCATCCGCCGGGCTGATGATGATTTCTCTGAAGATCCTGAGATGCCCATGGGGCGGCCATTCTCACCAGCGGACTGCCTGGCTGAAGTAGACCTGAGAGTGTGCAGTGGAGAGCATCACGTTGACTGGTATTATGACAGCAAGCTGGGGTCCTGCATGGCCTTCAGCAACGGTGGATGTGATGACAGCCGCAACCAATTCCAGACTTATGAGGAGTGCAAGGCCTCCTGTCAGAGGGAGGAGATGGGCATCTGCTCCCTGCCTGCTGTCCAGGGCCCCTGCAAAGATTGGGAGCCCCGTTGGGCCTGGAATAACCTCATGAAACAGTGTCAAGCTTTTGTGTACGGTGGCTGCCATGGGAATGCCAACAGCTTCGGCACCAAGAAGGAGTGTGAGGCAAACTGCCCACAGCCCAAAAGGAAACCTTGTAAGACCTGTCGCATGAAGGGGAAAATGGTGCCTAGCTTATGCCGGAGTGACTTCGCTATTGTGGGGCGACTGACAGAGCTGGTGGAGGATTTGGACTCTGGGTTAGCCCGCTTTAGCTTGGAAGAGGTCCTGAGAGATGAAAAGATGGACTTGACTCTCTTTGATACCAAGCACCTAGAGGTGACCATCGCCAAGATAGACTGGGGCTGTCCCTGTCCCAACATCACCATGGAGGAAAACCCTTTGCTGGTGATGGGTGTGGTGCAGGACGGCATGGCCATCATCCAATCTGACAGCTATGTCAGAGCCATAACTGAACGCAGACTTAAGAAGCTACGTGAGGTTCTGGATAAAAAGACCTGCCAGACACTACAAAAGTTCCAGGACTCAGCCCGCTGAGGGTCGGTGGTCACCTGTACCTTCAGCACTAAAGATAAGCATCAGAATTGCAACAAGAAAAGCTATATTTAATAACAACTCTTTAAGTCAAAAGACAAAAATATGTTAAATACTGTATCATCATGAAGTTATGAGAGATCATTTATATGTACAATGTATATTCATTACAACAAAAGTTGTACTACATTCCAGATGTTCATCAATACTAGTTAAATATAAATATTCTTTCTTTTAACCTGTATTCTGTATGTTAGTATTCTGATAAATAAAATTGTAGCCAGATTAGCAGGCACACAAATTGATAAACTTCAAAAAATTGCCTAGTTTACGATGCTAAAGAAATAGACATCTGCAGTATATTACTTCTATATTGTGTTTTTCTGTTTTATTGTAGGTTTATTTTGTATTTGGCTCTTTCTATTAGTCATTTAAATATGTGTTTTACATAAGTCTCCTTTTGTTGATTTCAAGAGCTAATGTACAACAAATTCTCTCTTAAATATCTCCCTCCGCAAAGCACTTCTGCTAACTTAGTTTTTTCTTTACTGGACAGTCTCTGCAACCTGAATAATGAAATAATAATAATAAAAAAAAAAGAGTAGGTGGCTGTATCAAGGTAAATATAGTACACAGACAACACATATGTGAGCCTTATTCATTTCACTCAAGTGTGCAATACAGAATAATATAGATAATAACAGATGACAGTGTTTCACTTCTGATCAAACAATTTCATCTAAAGTCAAAGTGTATTAGAATATGAGGAAACAAGTCTTTAACAGCTCTTGAAAATTTGGCACTGAATCCTAGCTTCAAGTGTAAGTTAAGGCTTTTTGACCATCCAGAAAAGGAACGACAGGATACTTCACACCAAACTCTCTTTCCTGAACAGAAGACACTTGTTGTTTGCCGGCATGTCCATCTAGCAAAGAAAACATTAAAGTCATCCGTTAGTAAACCAATAACTCCCATAACTGCATTGTTGTGGTTTTTACATTTCAAAGATAGAAATTGTGTCCGATGCTTACATGAGCTGGTTTACTTACTATTTTCTCCAAGAATAAACCATTTCTTTGTGCTGTAGAATTGAGAAGGGCGATATCCCTAAGTCCCCACTCTGGGTTTCTGTAATATTAAAAAATACAGCCTTTATATATCTTTTCCACTGTTGCACTATTTATTATATGGTTGACAAAAACAAATGATCCTTCACAATTATGTATACAATGCTGCTTACTCTTGCACAGAGCAAATAGATGCTACTGTATGTCTGATTTTATGAAGAACATCTTTAAAAAGTAAAATTCATGACCGCTGAAGTTTATAAAACAGAGCACTTTACCTCTGGCGCAGGCTGTAATCAAAGTCAACGTTACTTTGAGGGGTGATCTGACCATTCACTGCATAGGGCTGAGGATAATAAAAGATTTATATAGCATTTAATGGCGCACTTTTATGTTTAGATCGGATAATAACATATAATGAATGTAGTAAGTGCATATTTATGACAGCATGAAATATTTTTTCACTCACCCCATATGTCAGTAGAAGACCTTGCGGCTTCAGCACTGCTCCAGCCCCTTTGAATAAACCCTGGAAGAAAATAGTGATGTCTTAAAGTACCAGCATCACAGCCCACTACATGAGGTTTGCCCTTTTTGTTCTTAAGAAACTGTAAAAGGGAAATGCTTAGTCAAAGGCTCATACTGTACATATATACTCTGCAATATTTCTGCTTCATGGAAACTGAACACCAGGACCAGTCAAAAGATCACAGTACAAAACTTAGAGTCAGATTTTGAAGAAAAAAACCCAACAACACAATCTTTGTCTTAGAAAAGAAAAGCTGAATTTGTAGGCAATTAAACACACTCTTGCTCAATTCAGCACACATAAAGGTTTTGCTGCTACAGCCTTACTTGGTCTGGTGTGACCAGGAGCATAACGGTGGCTAACGTTAGCTGGTTTAAGCTAGAAATTACTCTGTAACTGATATTACTGAGTATGATTTGTGATTTTTGACTCTTCTATATTTATGCTACTGTTAAGAGTATATTTTAGGATTTACCATTCACATGTACATAAAGTTGCTTTAAGTAATAAATCAAACATTAAGTAATGTATTGATCCTGGCATTTATAGAGGTCAAAACTGTTTGCTTAGGATGAGTGCTGAATTAGAAGTGACCCTTATTAATACATAGTTTGTGGTGAGTTGATTTATTTACAAATTTATTTAGAAATATGCACAATATAAACTGAAATAATAAACTTACCACTATTATTAATGGGACCCACCCATTAAGAAAAGTGGTAAGTTTATTATCCCTCTGCTACACAGCGCTTCAAGCTTATGTAATAATGCAGGCCTTCAACTTTTCAGTTTATAATATGCTTAAAGTGTAATTTGGGTGTGTGTGTGTAATTTATCATATTACCACAAAATAATAACCACACATTAAACCTGGGGTCTACAGTGGTCCTGAGGGCCCTGGGTTAGGGTTTGCCAGCTGGTAATCCAGTTTTGGGTAGGATCAGATAACACCAATCACTATATGCAAATAAGCATCTATAAAATCAGCAGACCTACCTCTGTGCAAGCAATCGGTGAAATGTGGATCATGTTGATGTTGACTATCAGATCGAGGCTCTCTGGCTGGATCCCTCCCCAGTATTGATAGGGGAGAGATGCATCCAGGTGGATGGCGGGCTTCACATTGTGCAGCTGGTAGTGGGCTCTGTACGCTTCTATACTGAGAATGTAAACAAAAGACATTATTGTCAATGCAGGCTCCCCTAACAAAACACACGCAGCTCATTATACCTGTCCTGCTGCAGTAGGATAAGAATTAGCTACCGTAATGTCTGAGTTAAATGGCCAAAGCCTTTCTTCTAGTTTGCTACGCAGAAATGAATCAATACCGTAAAGACCCGAGTTTACACGCCGTTTTAAGGTACACCAGTCATTTAAATTGTTACGAATTGATACACACACTCCGCGTTTACCTGGCAAGAGACTGGCGGTCATACTCTGACGGCTGCCAGATTATATTCCGCAGGGCCTGAGCGAAGTGTGTGATATGCTGCCCGGTACCGGAGGAGATCTCCAGAGCCTGTAAGGGTCTCCCGGTGTTCACGCTCTCCCGGAGCACCGCCAGGATGGGCTCCTTGTTCCTCTCCGCTGCGGCGGCGCTCAGCATCTTGGCAAACCCCGGGTATAACTGTCGAGTTATACGGTACAGTGTACGCAACCACTCCAGCAGTCCCGAGTAACGTCAGCCCAGATTGAATAACTCAACACCACCCACGAATGTTTTGTTTTTCGGCTGAAAATGGTCCACTTCCGCACTGCCTCACGTGGCCGAGCAGACATCCAATAAGAACATCTGGGCGGGCGCAAGTTCTCGGCACAGTTATAAAAGAATGACAACAGCGAAATTTTACATAGAGGCTTTATTAAAGGGAAAACCGCATTCAGGTACACGTCCTATTTTACAACATTTACACATTTTCTATATATGAACATCATGGTTCTTCCAGGCATAGACACTGCAATTTAATAATATAATAATAATTTAAATGTTCTGTCTGAGTAACAGGACATAATTTGAAACAGCAATAAATATACATACCAGGATTGTCAGTGTGGTAAAGTAACGTTAAAGGTAAACAGGTTTCACTCACAATACCATTCTACATTTTAATGGGCAAAAGAGGATATCTATCCATAAGTCATTCAGTTATATTAAACAGAATTTGTGCAAAAAGAAGAACCTGGGGGAAGAGATAATACTATGAGTCTCTGGAGATATTACTCAGGTAAATTAATATGCTGTAAAAGCCAGTAATCTTGCTAATGCAGTGTGACAAAAAATCAGAACCACAAGTTTCTAAACATCTTTTTATTTACACCTTTTAAGATGACTGTATACTCAGACTGTGGAATAACATACTCATATTAAATTACAGTGACTTAAATTGTGTGCTTCGGTTGATGTGATGAAAAGTGGCCTTTTTTTGCAGCTCACCTGCTTTGCTTGAATGACACAATACACAATGGTCTGACAGCTGCTTTCATGGAGTTGTTAGCCGCTTGTCCTCTAACTCAGCTGCATGTTCTGCATTTTGACTCAGCTCATTTTCCACATTGAGCAGTGTTTGCAGTGTGTCAGGAGGAGATTCCCGGCTCTCACGTTGGCAGTTTTGCACCAGAGATGCATTCAGACAGACGAAGGTCTGGTTGTTGCCAAGGGCGTCCAGGCTAGTCGTGGTTGTGACCACAGAATCACTGAAGATTGTGTTTGAGAAGACAGAGTTGAAAGTGAATGAGGAGCCAAAGAGTGACTCCTGCACAGGGGATTTTGGGTGATCTGTGGGAACGGCAACTGTTGGGTCTCTGGGAGGTTTGATGGGAGGAATGGGCTCAGGCTCACAGTTATTCGTGTCTGGTTCTGGTTGTTGCTGACTCGCTGTTTCCTCCTGATTATTGCTCTTTTCTGAAACCTGGACAGAGACCGGGTCAGTCTTGCCTGTCACCCTGCAGTCGCTGTTTACACTGGTGCGTCGGGATGATCCCTCTGCTGTGGAAATGACACTGCTGGCTCGAGGGAGACTTTTGGGCGACCTGGACCCTTTTAGTCGCACCTCTTTCCCCGGAGGGGTGGAGAAGCAGTTGAGGCAGCCAGACATTGAGGATGACTTACCCTGAACGTACAGCACTGTGATGGGTGAACATGCTGATGCTCGGGTAGTTTCAACTTTGCTAGAGCACGATTTGGAATTCATCCCGTTGAGCCCTGTGTTCATTTTGACTGTGCCCCCTGAATCTGATGAGCGACGAGTCACTTTCCCTCTTGACCCCCTTCGGATGCTCTTTGTACCCCTTGTGAGCCAGAAGTCCTGAGAGAGTCCAGGATCTTTCTGTTTTGGTATAGACTGGATATCTGAATTCTGACTGTTGGTGATGGGCATGGTAGAGGCTTTCTCCTTGTGCTGCTGCTGCTGCTGCTGCTGCTGCTGCTTCTGTGTGTGTTGGGGGGTGGAGGTATCGCTGGGTGGCTGGAAGGAGGCGGAGGAGCGCCGTGATGGGGGCTGCTGGACAGGGCTGCTGCCATTTGACCATGGCTCATTTTCCAGGCTCAGGCTGAACTCCCCACTACTCTCACTTTGGGCTCGACTCTGGACACTGTTCAGCCCTGGAAAGAGATTACGATTTTTTTTTTTTAACAAGCTACAATACAATATTTATACACATTTCCACTCCTATCAGGAAAACATCTGTCAGCTTTATCAACATAATATTTTTAATGACCAACAGGGGGTACCAGAGTCAAGACTTTCTGTAATAGTTGTTGGCCTCTTTGGTCAGCACAGAGATTAATATGAAACAAGGTCATGATTGCAATTTGATGGGTTTACTCTAATTCCCGAGCTGGTAATACATCTGGATGCTAGCTGAATCCTCTAAACGAGTATCGACAGAGCTTTACCGTGATTCTGCAGCTCGTCGCTGTCCTCAAATCCAGATGGCACAGCGCTATCATTTGAATCCTTGTCTGTGGGGCATACAATGAGAAAGCACTGAATGGTTATACGTGATTGAAACTTTCCAACACTTTCAGCTTCTGTGTTTGAAACCAGAAAAGCACGTGCGAGCGCCGTCTTTGCTCTACTCTCCTCTACACATTGTTCTAGCATCTAACTAAGGAAGATGACATTGAAACAAAACAGTTGCTCGTGAATGCCTCTACCTGTCACCCAAAGCTCAGACAAATCTGGAACAGTGCCGGCGGTGTCAGTGGCTGTGGTGGTGACGTGGCCAGATGGTAGAGTGGTGGGATGATTGAGGTGGAGGATGGACAAGATGGATGTGGTAAGGGATGAGGTCAATGCGTTCTTCCTGTCCTCCTCCACATCAGCCTCTGACCCTCCCAGCTGCTCTAAGCTGTCTCCCCACCGCTTCTCCTCGAACAGGGCCGAGGGGTACGCCAAGCTGCTCAGGGCTGCATTGTTTGACCAAGGAGTGGAAGAAGTGGGAGGGGGATGAGGGATGCGGATAGACAGGTGAACTGTCATGGAGATTAGGAGGTATTTTTGTTCAATGGCGTGTAGATGGTTTGCTTTCTCCATAGACCAGACAATTGTGTAGAATTGTGGTTTTATACTGCAGATCTTTCCCTATAGTACAGCTGGCTGCAGGAAGGACAGAGCTCATGCAGCACCATTATCCTCCTGCAATGCATCATTTCTTTGACCTCTATTGTTGTAATAAAATACCCCATATTGTCTTCAAATATAGCCTCTGCTAGAAAAAACAACAAAAAAACAACTGCTGCAAATGCTTAAAGCTGTAATATCATATCTAATTATTTTAAGTTAGTGTGGTGAAATGAGGTTGGCATGAATGGTCACATTACTAACATATGACTGCTGATTTTACACCTGCTGGGAAGCATCCTTGCTGAAAATGATTAATTCATTCTCAAACTAGGGTCACATTGGTGTTATGGCGAGTAGTAGATGATGTAAAAAAAGCTACACACTTAGTATTATAAAGTTAGCAGTAAAATAAAAGGCCACAGTGAAGATGAGGGTCGACACCGGACCACAGTCTTTCTTACACATGGAACGGCGGAAGAGGGACTTGACTTTGTCTCTGTCCTTCAGCCTGTTCCTCATACGGGGAAACATTTTCAGGGTGGCTATTTAACAGCAAGTGCAGCGGCATGTGAGAAAGACAAAGGGATGCAGGCAAGCAGAGAGAGGGGGATGTAAGGGAGGAGAGGGGTAGGAAGGAAAGGAAAAGACAAGGGAAAGAAGGAAGGCAGGGGTGAGGAAATACATTAACAGACAAGAAAGACACAGGGAAGACATATTGAAGACTGTTGAGGAAAGTTCACACACATCATGCATCAGGAAGAATAACCATTTAGATATGACACACACACACACACACACACACACACACACACACACACACACACGTGCTTGCTTTTAAGATACTGCTATAGCATCATTTATTTATTAATTAGATGGACTGGGTCTTCTTTACTATACACTAAGCTAACTTTTTTGAATTACTAAGATCTCAATTTTTATTTTTATGGGTTCATAAAAAAGTAAGTACGTTTTGAAACATTTCTAACTGGCATTTCCAACTTTTGTTAACTTGATTCAATTGATTTAATTGAGGCTAAGACACAGTGAGAAGGTTGTGCGTGACGGATATGACTAAACCAAGAAGTGCACAAGACAACAGTGCTGCAACAGTTTTACTTAAAAAACGTTTTATTTAAGTTTTTGCATCTCCTTGAAAAATGCTGAGGCGGAGGGGGTAGTTTTGTCAAATTTTTGGAAGATGTCTGTCCTGCAAATGTAGCTTCATGTGTAGATGAAACTACTGTGGCTTTCGATTCACCCATGTCTCTCTGTCCTCTGGCTGTGGGCTGGGCCTTACATGAACACACTCCTGAATGATCTTTGTGCCCTGCCTCTGATGATGATCTTACTTCCTGGTCTATGACTGAAGCACTGAATGGGGGGACTTCAGTACTTTGATGACACCGGTTCCGCCAAGTCAATGGGAGATGATCATACTCACTGTTACGTTGGGGTGAAATGGCATCACCTGCTGAGGTGGCTGAGCTTCCAGAGCCATCTGAGCTGATGAAGGAGCTGTTGTCTTGACAGGAGAGTTGTGGCTCAGTAACGCCTGAGTGTGTGGGTGTGGGTGGGCGGTCGGGCCCATGCTCACGGCTACTGGATTTAATCAACTTCTTCAGTTTCAGAGTGATCCAGTTTCCACGTCTGTGGAAGAGCAGATATACAAGAGGAAAGTGAAACTGTAAAAGAACGAGGCACAAATAAGACGCAGGCCAGGCTGGTCTGTAGAGAATAAGAATTAAGACACCACACATGCAGAGGTGTGCTAGACAAGCATTAAATGTTTATGTTTGTCTATTATTCAGATTAAATAATATATACTTAAAACTGTAATATTATTAAATTAAATTATCCAACTATGCAATTCCTCTCAACTTTATGGAGCGTTTTAGCATCTTGCAGCTCATTGTTTTGGTTTGATTCACTCTCACCACTCTCATAGCTGCTTTTTTGTCTGCACCTGTTTTCAGTGGAAAAAGCTTGTGTAAACCCACTGCACTCTACCTGTGCCCAGCACCAAACCACAGACAACAAAGTTTGCGACTAGCTGGTGAACCCAGTGTAGCATTTAGCAGCTAAAGATTTGTTTCCTTCAGGTAGATGGTGGAGACCAAATACAGAGCTAAAAAAAACAATCAGTTAATGCAGGTTCAAAAGAAAATTTGCTAACTGTTAGCACATGGAGAAACATGACAGAAATGTGAACCGTTACAGTCATTAGCAACAAATAGTTAAAAAATAATTGTTATCACTAAATTGCAGACAATTTACCTGCGAGGAGGCGATGGCTCATAAAACTTGTACTGGTCCATTATCTTTTCCTCCAGCTTCTCCTTCTGCCTCCTCAAATCATTAAGCTTGTCACTGAACAGAGACGGAGAGAGAGAAAACAGATACTGTAGATAGATCCTCAATTCTAATTGTGGGGCCTGCTGTGGTATTTTGGTGTCCTGAATAGGGTTCATTATGTGCTGTTTGCAAGTATCAAACGTTTAGCCTTAACATGTTAGCTCATTAACAAATTAGTGTAACATGCTGCAAATCCACACATTAGACCCTCAATGCTACTTTATCTTGTCATGGTGTTAGGCCTAGTTGCCTACATATACTGTCGCTCTTCAACATGAAACAGATCCTTGCTCTCCATGGTCTGCTCCAACAAGGTTCGGTTCTGCAGCATCAGCGTCTCGATCTGGTTGAGCAGGTGGCGATTCTCTTCCTCCAGGTTGGTCTTCAACTGGCTCAGCAACTAAACACATACACAAGTATCTATATGTGCACGAGTGTACAAAACAACAGATCATCATGCAGTTATTAAAACAGAAAATTGGAATACTATCCATCAGCCATGACTCTATGCTGAGGTTGAAGAGGCAATTACAGGGGAAGTTCTAGACACTATCACACCAGCTAAACCTGCTGCATGTCAATACCTCACACTGGTTGCTGAGCTTTGTGGAAGTGATGTCTAGCTGTTGAAACTCTTTCTTGAGCTTGGAGAAGTCAGCCTCCAGCCAGGTGTGCTCCAGCTTGGCCTCATTCAGCTGGCTCTTGAGCTGCTTGTGATCCGCTGTCAGCAACTCATTGTCGTTATGTAGCTGACGGTATGTCTGGTTCAGCCTTAAAAAAAGTAGAAGCATGTATAAGCCCACATCCATGCATTAGCCTAGGTGTGCTTTAATGTGTATATGCTCCAGTGTGTGCATGCTCCTCACCAGTCCTTCTCGTCACGGAGCCTGCAACATTCAGCAGCAGTGGTCCTGTGCTGTTCTTTCTCTAGAACCATCCTCATCTGCTCCTCCTTCAGGGCTTTCTCCAGGTCTTCTAGCTTGGTCCGCTGCTGCAACAAGCTATTGTACCTAAAGATACCACAAAATACACACAAACGTGTAGAGATTGTAAGACAATTCATCGAAAGTGCCTAGATTGTGGCCTTCTCTGCTTTTCCCCACCTGTCCTGCAGAGTGCGTTGCTCCAGCTCTAGTGTGCGATGGGTGTTTTTCAAACAGCCGTGCTTGCCCATCAGGGCCTCATACTCCATAGCCTGCCGCTCATGTAGAGCTGCCAGCCGCTCGTGATCTCTTAATAGCTGCTCATGAACACCACGCAGCTCTTCACGTTCCCGTATGGCGCTGTCCCGCTCACTTTCTGTCCCTGACTGCTGCTGCTGCAGCTGTGCATTCTGGGCCATAAGGGAAGCACTCTGTGAGTTCAGAGTGGATTTCTCCACCTGGAGAAGAAAGGGACCCAGTTGATGTAAGCATTAATGCTTGTGTGCACTGTGAATCTTATAGGATTCTATCAGCAATGTAAGTTTGTAGAGGGGCTGTTATGTTAAGTGCACCAAAGAGAATAGTGTGTGTTATAGTGGCACCTGTAGGTTAGCGTTGTGTGTCTGCAGGGCTGTGTTGTTCTCCTGCAGTGAGGCAGCCTGCCTCTGCAGAGCGAGGATTTGAGCCTGCTGGCTATCAGACTGACTCTCCAGCTGCTTCAGCTGGGCCTGCATTGCCTGGCGCTCTGCCTCCAGTGTTGCGTTCTGCAGAGGAGAGGACAGAAGGAGGATGGGAGAAGAGAAGAGAAATGTTGATAAAACTGTCATTCTCTTATTGATTATTGTGAAATGTCTGTTTCCAGGAGGAAGAAGAATATGAAAACTAGCAGGTAGTGTTAACTTCATGCACTCAGTACAATTGGTCTATTATTAACATAAATCAACATCAAAACCAATAGTACAATTTTATAAATTGGTCACTACATAGGTCAGCTACTACTTACATTCCTCTCCACTTCAATGAGACGGTCTTTGAGCTTCAGCAATTCCTTGGTGGCCTCCTGGCTTTCACGTAGCCATTCACTCATTGCTCTGCCAGTCTCTATTGCAGGGGTGGAACTTGATGCTGTCCACTCTTCCTCCTGCCTCTGTTGCAAGGCCTCATAGCTCAGCTTCACCTGTAGGGTTAAAGGGGTCAAACATTTCGATATTCAACAAATTACAATGAAGTTTTAAAATGTTTTTTTCTCAAATGTGACACCAGCAGGCCTGCAATGGTGAATTTGAACTTTTAGGACAGTCTTACAGTCTTGAGCTCCTGGCGCAGCTGCTGGTTCAGGGTGGAGGATTCCTGCAGACGAGCTTCTAAAGCTGCCATCTTGTCCTCTTTAATCTTAAGAGATTTTTTCAGGGACGACTCCAACTCTGACTCCAGCATCTTGAACCTGCTGCGTAGAGGAAAGAAGGTATTTTGTGCCAACTGTGGCATTAGCAGTCTTCAATTCTTTACATTCCCGTCAAAAGTTACAGGATGGGAACTCCAAGCAGTATGTAAGCACCTGTTGTCTGGTTCCTCTTGTTCAGCCTGCTGTGTACTCTCCTGGTTCAGCACCTTCATTTCCAACTCGTAAGCCAGCCTCTCCAGTTCATTGTCTCTCTGCTGGCTCTTCAGCTTCTCACTTACCAGCTCCTAAAGATGGACGGTATACTTGGATTACACTAAATAGTTTCTTTAAGAGACATTTACGGACATTTAATGTCATTATTCAAACATCTAGTCCATTTAAATAATGTTTTTGAATTAATTAGTTGTGGTGGTTCAAACATGGCAGTCAGTAGATAGTGACTGAATGTTCATTTGTGATCAAACTGTGATTTAATTGTTGGGAACCAAATGTTAATAATCTTTTCCTTCTACCATTCTATGTTAATTTGCGGGCCTGGTTGCACATTTATTTGACATTGAATCAGCACACCATTGCTCTTGTGATAACCTTCATATTAGTACGTACAATGACATTCAATAGAAGTTACTGTCACTAGGTCATGCAAAACAATCAACATTCATTTTACAGTATTTGTACTTCAATCTGTCACTTTGTCAAATTAAGTATCAACACAGTAAAATTCTTGCATCTATTCAAATCATAAAATCTAATCAAAGGTAAAATCTGGCAACCTCTGTGCAACACATGCACACTGCTGCTGTAAAGTGCATTATCAGTGAAACATCAGGGTGGGTCAGGGCAGACTATTTATTCAGCGTAAGCTCGACAGCACAGACTTCCTCTCCTCACCTCTCTGAGGGTGGCCAGGGTCCTCTGGTCGATAGCAGCTTGCTTGGTCAGTTCTCTGTTGTCTCCCTCTAGGGCTTTGACCCTGTCAGCAGTCTCCCTTAACCCCTCCACCTCCTTTACTAGAAAACGCATCTCCCTTTCCAGGCTGGTCATACAGACATTGTTACTGTCTAAGTTGGCTTCCTGGATTTCAGCCTGAGACAGAAGAAGGTAGAACAGTAGCCATTTTATTCAAGGGCAACGTAAGTCTTCCAAACATTATGCTGCCTTTGGTTTGCAACTGACAACTTGCCCTCAGAAGACAATCCTACCTACCTGCTGGCGGAGTCGTCGATTCTCTTTCTCTAGCTGCCTTTTTTCCCTCTCCAGGACTGTGGTTTCTTGCTCCAGGCTTTGCTTCTCTGTTTCCAGTTGCTCCAAGCGGCGTGCAGAGATCCGAAGTTCCTCTAAAGTGGCCTGCAGACTCTGGTTCTCTGCCTCCAGCTCCTGAACCTCTGCCTCCAGTCTCTGAACTTTCCGGTCTAAAGAGATGGAGTGGGGTAGAAGAAATAAACTAATCAGTAAATGTATGCCTGTGTCATTGAATCTTTTAATGTTCATCTGATCTACAGAGCCTACCAGTGTTATCGAGGGAAGTCTGTAGATGCTGGTTAACTGTGTCTAGGGCCCTGCACTTGGCCTCCAGCCGCTGCGTGTGTTTGCTGGCATAGGAGGAACGTGTTGGCAGACCTGAGAAGATGCTGCCATGGCAGGGACTGCTGCTCTTCGAGCCAGGGGAGTGATCACCTGATCCAACAAAACAATGGAGCCTATTGTGATTGTTTTCTAAGACTTCCAGATCAGACATTATGTCTTTGAAATGATCTCCACCTCCATCTTCTAGCTGTCCTTTCTCCTGAATATGAAGGTCTGGGCTCTCTGTGAGGAGGATCTCACTCTGGACTTCCTCCACCTCTTCTGCGTAGAGTGGCTGATGGCAGTTTGAATTTCCATTTAACATGTGCTGTGCTACTGTTCTGAGCGGGAATATGTGAGTGCGGTTTTCTATATTAGAGCAGGAGGTTTGCAACCAAGTGGGTTCATCTGTTGATAAGGTACGGTTGTTGGTGCTACAGACCACATGGCAGACATGATCACACTCACGGTGGCAGCTATGTTTGTGTGGCTGTGTGCTGTTGTTCATAGAGGCAGCTTTGAGTTCCTCTATAGTTCTTAAGAGACTTTGGTTCTCCTTTTCCAGTTTCAGCATCCGACTGCGAGTCCTCTCAGTCACCTCCTCACTCAGAGTCTGCTGGCCTTTACACAAACACATGACGGCAATTAGCTGAAGGAAATGAGGACTTGAGACAGACAGCATAAAAGACGAGTTGTAAACATTTTAGGGTGCTGTTAGGCTTTTTTGTATGCTGTTTTATCATGGCTTTTATTATGCCTGTGCACAGTTTGAATGTTTGTTGAGTCTAGCTTAGTTCAGTTAGCCTATTAAATGTCTGTAGGATCAGTTGCAGCTCCACTCAAAGTTTTTAAACTTTGTCATATATAAACGTGTACATTATACATAGGCAGCAATTACATTTATTTGATATACAGTAACAACAAAAAAAGTGATGAATTCATAAATCTGTAAATCATAATTTACAGTGTTTGGTAAATCTATGGCCATCTACTAAATGAGCTAATAGTCTTCTAGGGCTAGGGTGTGCATGAGTGCTTTAATCTAGGAATATATTAAAGCCCTCGTGCGCACACACTTACATCATTTACATATCCGTTTTTTTACTTAATCTACTATTTCAACCAATCATTCTCCCATTACTTCATCCTACTGTATCACCAGCTCTTACTCTGAGAGTTCTCAGTGGTCTTGGAGAGCTGCTCTAACTCCCAGCCCAGATGCTGGGACTCCTCCATGCTCCTCCTCTGAGCCAAACACAGAGCCAGGTTCTCCTCCTGCAGCTCCTCAATGCGCCTCCGGTCTGCCTCCCTCTCCTGAAGTGGAGACACAAAGTATCAGCAGAAGTATGGGAACAAGTTCTGTCCAGCTGCTGAAAGGACTAGATGATCATTAAATCTAAAATAAGACATCTAATGTTGAGATCTAGATGTTTTAAAAATTATATTGTCACTGATCTCTGCTGTCAATATTATAGGCTTAATACAAGGCAACACAAAGGTAACAAAGCAGACACCTCCTTGTATGCAGATGTCTGACCTGTTCCATGTCGTGGACCCGGGCCTTCAGCAGAAGACTGTGCTTCTCCAGCTGGTGGATTTTATCTGAGCGTGCCCTCCAGCCTTCCAGCTGATCCTCCAACACTTCTTTGGTCTCCTGTAGCACCCTGTTATCCTCCTTTAGCTCCTGAAATACACACACACACACACACACACACACACACACACACACACACACACACACACACACACACACACACACACACACACCCCTCTATAAATATATAAACCCAGATTTATATACTTCTTCCACATATGTTGCTTCCAAAGTTGTTGCTGCTCTGTATCTTTATCTTTCACTTTTCTTGTTCGTAGCTAAGGAAAACTCTGATTTATTATCTAAATATTGAATACACTTCTTACTCCCCACATCTTATCGTCCAATAAAAATTATATCAATATCAAAAATTCATCAATATGAGACTGCAGGATCAGATTATTCACTGATTTCCTGAATTCCAAGATCAATGCCTCAACATTCACTGGTTAAGTATTTATTTACGACTGTATCAACCTCCACTTTGGCCTTGTAGAACTCCATCTTGTGCAGTTGCTCCCTGTAGCGTCCCACTTCACTCTCCAGCTTGTCTGCCTTTATGGCTCTCTCTCTCAGGGAGTCCAGTTCGTCACGGTAGGTGCGGGCTGCACGGGCCTCTACGAGCAACTGGGAGTTCTGGTGAGGGTTCAGACAGAGGCATGGCTTACAGCAATACTTGTTGTTGAAGTGTTAGTGTCAGTTTGTTACATTATTTTTATTCATTCATTAATGAATGAATTATCATTTTATTAATCAATGTTTTGAGATCAACAATAGATCAAATGAGTACCTGTACTGTAAAATAGTGACAAATTATCACCCCATTATTTCCCCTTCCTTAAGTTTTTTGTGTCTTTTTATAGTCTTTACAGTAAACTTTATTGTTTTGGTTCTGTCTCATAGCTCTCATCACCGTTATTTTGAGTTTTTTTATTGTGTTTTTAGCAGGAAGCTTTGATGATCCCACTCTACGCTTTTGGCCCAGCATCAAAGGGCATCCACTTACATTTACATATCTGGAGCAACTAGGGGTTAAGTGTCTTGCTCAGGATCTCTCACACCAAAGGCATATGTCTTATCCATTGCGCCATCCCCATCCCCATTCCCACAAAGTTAGTAACTAGCATTGAGCAGCCAAAGAGACAGATATTTCCCTCAATAGTTAAATCAATGGATACTGGATTTGAATTCATCTGGTTGCAAGAAATAAGACTTCAAATGAATGCTAATGTTGCTCAGAGTCTGCCGGATGTATAAATAGGCAGCTGCTTACCAGCATGTTTGACATATCAACTTTAAAATTAAAAATATGTCAGTTTTGTGTTGGCTTGTTCTACTGTCCTAAAGTGGCCAAACAACAATTAATGCTGCTATAATTTCCAATGTGGTTGTTGGAAATATATGAACCAAGCAAACTTGCACAGCCAACCTAAGTCACAAGCCTTAAGCAGAGAATACAAATTGAGATCTCCTGTTCAGACAAATCCATATAAGCTTTAGTTGTATCTCTGAGTCAGAGGTTTAAATTTGCTGTCATTAAGCGCTGCTCTGCAGCAAAGTATGGTGTGCAATAATCTGTATAATCTGCAGAGCAATCAGGAGGGTAGTGTGTGTCACCATCAGAAGGAGCTGGAATTTATTCTTCTATTCTTCATACCTCCTGCTGGATCCTCTTCAGCTCTGCCTCCATGTTCTCCAGCTCATGTCTGCAGTCCAGCATCTGCTCACTCTTCTCTTCTCTGGTGGGGTCAGATGTGCAGTGCAGAAAGACAAGCAGGCAGGTTGATTAGTGTACACTACTTACTACTCTTCTGCAATACTTTTATATATATTAAAATACCGCAAGTGACCAAATACATGAGGGGGCACATATAAACACATATATTTCCCCTTTTAATCGCTATTGCAAGGTAACACATTTTATGCTTCTGATATTGAGTGGCAAATTCAAAATGACAAGTAGGATCTCATTATTAATGTTGCCACAAACTTGCATCTCACAAACATACTTGATTCCAACATAAAGCGCCTTAAACCTCATTTTTATTTTTTTTTTCAACAGAAACAGATGCATGCTGGAAGAGCTGTTGAAAGAAATGTAACTCAAAAGTGCAAAGTCAAGCCATACTTAATGATTTAAGTGATACTGTGTTTGCTCAGAGGCTGTAGTATGTGAATGTGAGCATCCAAACACGAGAGGACAATGCGGTGGGGAGAAGATGGGATGGCCAGCAAAGATGGAACTGAGATCTTGATCGGATCAGAGTTAATGTGTGTGTGGGTGTGGATGTGTGTGCATGCAGTATCTGCTGAAATTCAGAGGCAATGTGGGTCAGTGGTAGTGCACAGCCAGGCAGTAATGTGGGCCAACCCCCCCCCCCGGCATCTCTTATCCTGTAGTATCTCTGTGTTTGCCTCTCATTCTCTTTCTATTGGCAGTTCCCCCGAGGAAAGGCTACCTCTTTACTAGCAGCAGTCCTGAAGATAAACTTATACTATTCTAAGAGACAATATTAAATTCAACAATCACTAATGTGGGAATGGACAACTTCTACCAGTGCATGTGTATTTTTGATCTCATTCTATTTGCATTGTGTTCTCAGAACAGTTTTCCTATGCATTAGCCTGTTTGATGTAAGATGTTTTTATGAATGTGAAACTCTAAAAGAGTGAAATGTTTCTGTTCTCCTGATTGTGTAAACTATAACATTTTAGCCCCAAGGAGTTTTTATAAATGTATTTCCTCTCACAGATTTTTTTTTTGTTTTGTTTTTTTTCTCTGTCCACTTGGTACTCACAGTTCTTGTCTAAGTCGTCTGATCTTGGCCTTAGAGTCAGCCAGCTCCACCGACAGGTGTTGCTGAGTCCCCGCCTGTTGCTGCTGCTGCATGCTGGGACAGTAGCTGGTTGACTGTGGGCTGGATGGGCTACTGAGCAAGCTAACGATGCCATCCTTTTCCTGCATTAGCTCTGCTATAGTCTGCAAAAAAGACGTGTTACAGATTAGCTTTAGCATATGACTAAATACCCAATTTACCTCTTAATATATGTGCACAAAACGTTTTAATTAAACTAGTTTTACTGCCATCAGAGATTTTTCATGTCTTCCTATGCATGCTTTGTAGTATATACCCAAAATACAACATCATGTACAAAATATTGTTTGGATTCATACACAGGTTCAGATAAGTTCCCAAATTCATAGAGAATACGCATGTACCTCCTGAAACAGTCAGAATAAATGATGAAAGGAACTGGAATATACCTCTAGATGGGTGTCCCTCTGGTCCAGCAGATGTCGGAGGTGCGTGGCCATGTTCCTCGCTACGGCCTCCAGCTCATCCGGGTGCACCTCACTGGACTCCAACCACTGCAGATCCAGCACGTTCTCCTGACTGTGGGTCAACTGGTAAATGCGGGGACGGACAGTCAGAGTAGCAGGAAAAAGATAAATATAATGTGAAAGAACGCAAAGTGGCACAAGGATCCTCAGGATGAAGCTACAAACAGACAGCTACTTATTCCTTTCAGTTCCCAATAAAACCATACTACTGAGTTAGTTTCTTGCTTAATCAGAATATATACACATTTATACGAAGACATGAAGGTCATCTGTAGTTGATGATGGGAGGGACCTTTCTTCATTTTACAAGAACTTCACAAAAACTATTTCTCACGATATATTTAGCTAATAATAATAACAACATGTGACGTTCTCTGCTGGCTGTGAAACACTGCATTTACAGTATTTACTACTTTATTTGTCACAGACACAAGCATGAATATTTACAAACTGATTTACTGTACAACAATGCTGAGGCATTTCTCATGTCATATAAAGTCAGATACCTCCTGAATATGTGCAGCTATGGCAGCTTTCGTGTCAAAGTCAAGCGTCTGGATCCTCTCAATGTACTCATCTTTTTTCTCACACTGAAAATGAAAATGTAGACAGATATAGATCTCCATAGCTCATATAGTCTGTTTCATGTTTTCCGCACAAAAACTGTCAGATAGTCAGCATTTACCTGGACTGCACATCCCAACAGTAACAGCAAAAGTTTCTTCATTTCCTCCAGACTTTGTTCTGTGGAGAACAAAAGAAAAAGTTCATTATCTGAAATAAAACTTATCAGATTAAGGTACTGAGGGCTGCTGGCATGGATTGAAGTTGAAATGAGTACAAGCTGGTGAATTTGGGTCACAACTCACCAAAGCCTTACCATCACAAGCCAGTGCTGTTATCAGGCTGATGGAGTGCAATTGAATTAAAACTGTATCAGAAAGAGCTAAAGCAGCCTGTCTGTGAGGAAATACTCACACTCTTTTAAGGGGAAAATGCTACCTGATTTTCATTGTTCACCATTTAGAAATGGCATTGTCGCCATTTTCTAAATGAACAGTGACAATAATACTAGTATTTCCCTTTAGCTTCATAATTCAAATTGTGGATATGATATCCTGTTAACTAAACTCAAATGCCTCTTAGATCCTTTAAATTTGACCAGTTTAGCAATCAGCCAGATATGACACTCAATACTATACACGTAATCTTAGGTACATTTAGGAAATCAATGCAGTGTGTATTTAGTATCAGCAAACAGACAGGCTTCCAACCATTTACTGACTTAGCAGCTCCAAAAGAGAGGAGAGATGATGAATACACTGAGTGTTCTTTAAAAGAGCATACCAAAGTAAGGAGTCCTGCCAAGCAGCAACACGTTTGGCAAAGGAATCATGATTAATTGTCTCAGATTATCCTGCGAAAAAACAGAGACAGGGAGGGGTGAGGGAGATGGGTCAAGAGAAGGGAAGATAAGCACATTTTAGACCAAACTGGAACATGGACAGAATACAACACTTCTCAAAGTGTTTGAATGGACAGGGATGTATGTATGTACAGCACATAGCCGCTGCTTAAACACATGTATAGAAACTTAGCCAAGTCTCTGAATGGGTAGATGATAGAGCTGGTTTCCCTGGTGCAGTGGTGAAATCCACCAAAACTGTTTGGTACAGCCTTGTCTAAGGCTATAAGTGGCTTGCGTTCATAAGTGTGTGTGCAGTGTGCGTGGTAGTGTGTGTGCAGTGTAGTAGTGATTTTTAATAGCCCCTAATGAGCTAATGAGGAACGTGAACTTGTAAACTTCAGGAAACTATTACCAATTCCCACATGCAAAGAAAGCTACAGTTGACTGGAGTCATTTAGTCTCTGATGTTACAGTCCAGCGTGCACCAACAGTCACATTATCCATTGACTGCCACTGTGACCCTTTGTGGAAAGTTCACTGACTGGCCACAAACCTCTCATCATCCTCTCCTCTTGTAGTTTATGTGAGGTTATGCAGTGTGGAACCGAGAGCAATTCTCTAGTCCCCTCGGGGATCAATAAAGTATTTCTGATTCTGATTTCTGATTCTGAAAAGGATGAAAACTGAAATACGTTAGGGATAGATAAAAAAAACGCACCTTACTGTACATCAATTTTTTTGACTTGACAGCAGTAAAACCCCGTCAATTGAAACCATTGTTTCTCCCAAATGTCACTTTTAAGGAAAATAAGCACTGTAGCATTTTAGAGTCGATCCGATGGATTTTGAGATGGTGAATAAGATTTTAGCCATGCTAGCGGCATGGCTCTAGGATGGCAATGTCGATTCATTGGTCCATCGCTTTGGTCCTTTGGCAAATGGTAGCATGCTAACATGCTTAACTAAGATGGTGACCATGGTAAACATGATACCGACTAAACATCAGCCTGTTTACATTGTTACTGCAAACATGTCGTTGTGTGTCATTGATGATATTTGATATACTGACAATGTGTGGTAACAAAACAATATACAAACCCATCATTCCTTTGAGGTGCTAATCTGAAGAATTTAGTTGTCCCGTCTTCAGTGAAATTACTTTTCTTGTGATCTTAACAGATTTTAATAGAATAAAGCTTATCTCGAATTGTACTTAATTATTCTGACACAGACAGAAAATCCAAGATTCAACATCAGTGCTGTGTCTGTCCATGAATCTCATGTCACTCTAAAGCTCTGTCTGTCTGTGGCTCTGAGTGCAGCTTTACTGAGGCTCTGCTGCGCTCTTACCTCGCTGCTTGTGCCGATTATGCTTGTGTACATGGCTGATATTTAGGGCATGCATCTTAAGAAGAACTAGCTGATCTGCTGGGACACAAGTGCTACCAACTATCTGGTCTGCGCATGTGTGAGCCAGTGTGTGCGTGACAGATGATGCAAATTGAGGCAGAATTGAAAAATCCAAGTTAAATGTTCAGATATCATAATCTGATGTAGAGAGAGATGGAAAGCTTAGCAGCCTGAAGCTCGGATACTTTATATAAGATACTGGCAGATAAAAAAACAAGGGGAGGGAACATCCAAAACTCACCAGATAATATGTCTTGATTTGCTGCACAAGGAAGTTCAAGTTTTGGATCCTCTGACTTGGATCACTGCTCACTTTGTTTGCACTCTGAGGTGCAGCCGAGGGATTTCTGAAGATGGGACACAGCATAAAGGCATTTTACTTGACATTTCTGCTTTTCACAAACAAACAAAATGGTTGTTGGAGTGAGAGGAAGCCGCAAGCTGGTAAAAGTCTTGGCTCAAGCGCATGTATGAGGTCTCTATTCATTCCTAACTTTAGTCTGTGTGATGTCATTCCTTTCAGCCAACTGGACTGTTTTGGAGCCAAACGGGGTGGCATTAGACTTTCCACCCAAAGGAAACCCTTTAGCTGGATTCTCGGGCTGTTGGCTCGGACGTACTGTAGTCTGAGGTCCAAATGTCATACATCATAGCTGAAATATTATCATTCATGGACATTTGTGCAGGCCAGACTTCACCTTGTTACTCAGGAAAGGAAACCTGTTAAAACTTATTGTATACCTCGGGGGTAAAAAAGGTGGAGAGAGCCATACAGAAAGACATAATGCATGAAAGAGAGACAGAGATGCTGCCTAGCTGCCTGGTACATCACATTTTTTAGTTCGCCTGTCTTCATCTCTGTGCTGTTTGTCCTGTTTCTGTGCCTCCCATCTGTGTCCCAGTGCCACTAAACACCAGCAACAAGGCCCTAATCCCAGAGGGTCTCCCAATCCAGGAGATTATCCCGCCTCTTACCCTCCCCTCCCCTCAGCACAGCATTGTTTTGCTGTAAGAGCTGGTTATTGTATCCCTGGGGGATAAGTGGGATGAATGGATACTGTAGACTTGGGGTGGCTAGACGACGTTATCCAGACTGGGTCATCAGATTTTTACCCTTTCTTTGCAACTCTTCAGTTTCTGTTCAGTACTCTCCTGGCAATGTCTGAACTGTCATTTCATCTCAACAGGGAGGCGAAAATAAGTGTTAACTCGCAGAAGTCTTTAACACATTACAAACTGCCAGAGGACCATGAGTTAATGTGTCATTTAAGGGTGAGGGTAATTCCCTCAGAACATAAGGCACCCAAATCATCATCTCTTAAGTAGCATCTTCACAGTATCTATGATGTCCCTCATGTCTTGGCAGTCTTTCTTTTCCAGGTGATGTTCCTCAATGTGGGCTGTGTATCTATAACTTTAATGCTAATTCTAACTTCTTTTTTGAGAACCACTAACCTGTAAGTACTGAAGAAGTTGCATTTAAAGACTGCAGCATACTACAAAGATCCCCTTTATTACTACAGAGTGACAAAGCCAGTACTGTTGGTGCCTGGATATGAATGTTAGCAGACATTTGCTACTGTATCAGTATCTACTATTGATGGCATGAGGGGAAAAGATACCTAAAAAGAATTACATATCATTAGGGTGATATATAATATTGGGACAATGACATTTCATCTGAGCTATTTCCCTTTAAACATCACAGTTTGTCATAACTTAATGACAGATGCTATTTCAAGTCTATGACAGCTTCAAAACACAGGCTGCTAATCTGAATATCCATCTTGACACAGCTCAAAACCTAGATTAGAAATGTGACAAATGAAATATACCAAAAAAGATGGCAGGAAGCGACTTACATTTGTGTCATTATGTCATTCAAAAAGACTCCATTCAGTAATTCAGAAAAGTCCATGTGCATGCCCCCATCATTTGGCACAAACGTCTTCACCTAAATGACAAAGAGAATCCATGATGAGAGGTTGATATCACAGAGTCTGGCAGGAAATCAGAGCCTGATGCATTACTTACCCAAGTGACAAGTGGGCTCAGCATAAATTGATCCAGACAGGGTAGAAAAACTCCACTTTCCATCGTTATTTCCATCGTAGGTTATTATTAGTCACAACAGAATATCCCAACAATTTAAATGAGGAGAAGACTGGTAGCAGCCTAACGTTAGTCACTACATTACTCCAGAAGTGAGTCTTGCAGATTCAAGCCCTCCCATCCATCTTATTTAAACTAGTTGAGTATTTCCTCTTGGCACTGCGGTTTAGCTTGTCGGTGTTTTCACTGACAGACTCCTCTCGCCACTAACAGCTAACTTACTTCCACGACATCCGGCAGTTTAAACGTCGCCAAGTCGTTGTCCAAGTACGGTCCTATCCGCATTTTGTCCCGCAACACTACACACTCACTAACATCCTCCTTGGTCCTCTGCTGCAAAGGCATCTGCCGTCAGTCCCCCACAACCCCACCTCCTCCTCCTCCTCCTCCTCCCAGCTTCCCAGCTCGCAGAAAGAATTAGCACTGATGACAGATTTTTATATTTAAAGTTCCACCGTTAGGCCAAATGTGCTAATTCATTTTATAAACCATTATTAGCCTAGACATGCTAAAAGTGTGCTAAAATGTTCCCTCCCGTTTGGTTTCACTGTTTGAAGCTAGTACAGCAGATGAGTGCTAATGATACATCAGAAATATTTTTCATCTGTCACCATGGCACTGGCGCCCCCGCCCCTCCCCACCAGCAGCATACTGTTTGTGACCATGTGCAACCACAACTTGTCCTAAGTGTTGTTCATATAATAAACTAATTTATGCACATTTCACCGGATGAACAACTAGATGTTTCCCTTAATGTAATGAGGCTTAATTCCCAAGTATACTCCCTCAACAAGAGTAGGCCTACTTTACTGTGGGCTAATGACGACCTACTATGTAGCCTAATATGATTTTACACATATCTGGTTCAGCACTAAAACAATTTAAAAACAAATGAATTTAAAGGGTTTACTTTCTCCAAGACAGAATATCCATGAATGTGACAAGGTTCTTCCCACTGAATACAAAACCTCCACACTCGTCGTGCCAAACTTTCGCTGCCGAAGGCCTGTGATGGTGCTATGGCGCCACCGTGTGTTAAAGACTGGATGCAAATCTGTAAATCTGTCAGATGACTGACTTTGATGACAATACAATAATGATGAACAAAATTATAATCTATAAATGTGTCAAAAGTCTAATTCACTTAAAGAAAAAATGTTAATTTAAATGGCTGTACATTTTTGAAAATAGAGTTAGAAAACAGTTAGAAGGCAACATTTTAAATGACAATAAGCTTTCTTTGAAAAATGATTAAGATTTTCAAATTTCCGATCTTATATATTTGATAAATCTAAATGTCAGATGTGAGATATTTTCCCTCAGTCAACAGTCAAATATACAGTATAAAGTCAACAGTTCGTACTGTGATATAACAAACAGTACACATGTAAATACTGTTTCATCTCGTGTCGGCACAGACCTGGCACGTCGCACATATTTGTTGTTGATTTTTGATCTTTGTTGTTGTATATTTTTATGTTGTCAGTTTATATATTTATATGTGGGGTGAATTCAGGTTGAGTGGGACATCAGGTTGAGTGGGACACTTAAGCTTATGAGTACTATACAGGGTTAATTTTGTAAGCCAATCACAACAGTTGTTATTGTGTTGTTGTTGAATGTCTATTGGATATGAAACAGAGGTTGTGATTGGTGTGACATCAAAGAAGTGGTCTTGTAGTTCTTTTTCAAATTGGTTGACTTCCGGGACCTCGTGGTAAACCACCTGGCAAGTGTAAATCTATATAAAATTATAAGGATGATAATTCAGTCACTTATGATTAAACAATAACATTTTTGCTTTTAAATGTCTTTATACTGTCTGTAGATTAGAGATTAATTACAATAAGGATGTAACTGGATCAAATATTTATGAAAATTAAATTTACAGCCCTGTCCCACTCAACCTGACAGTGTTAGATAAAGTGGGACAGGGCATTTCAGGTTGAGTGGGACAGTTTTAATGCTAATGCTAGTAAGCAAAGTGCAGCAGTTTCATGAAAAAAAGACAACATTTTAAAGTTGTTGGTAAGAATAATGTATCTGAGTATCAAATTTATGGTTGGTAATTTCTTAAATACACTAGGCTACACAAAAAATGGCACCCATGCAAAGAAAAGATTAACAGAAAGAGAGAGGAATTAGTGAAAGGGGGGCAGGGTATGCGGAGAAGGTAAGGACAACAATGTAGGAAGGGAAGAAAACTCAAAAGTGGAGGGAAGAGAAAATGGCAGTGGATGTTGAGGAATATATATATAAGGACAGGAACCTAAAGTAAGGTTTTTAGCCAAGGCATGGAACACCATGAAACTGACATTACAAAAGTGAATGAAAGGGCTGATGAGAGGCATCAGGTAAAAGCCCCAAATAGTTTCAGAAATGCATTTAATAACTTACTTACATAGCCTAGTATTAATAAACTGAAGACATTTTGCTTTTAGGCTACTTGCAAACATGATTTTTTTTTTCACACATTGTTGAATATTTTTAACTAAATTATATCTCTTTGAGTTACTGTACACTAACACATTATATATGCTGTTAAATGTTAATATAATATTAAAATGCCTATTAATGTGTTATTAAATGTTGTAAAAAGTATTTCTCATGTGTTTAATGTTTAATTTTAACTTTAAATAATATAGTGTCCCACTTTATCTAACAAAGTGTCCCACTCAACCTGATTGCTTCCAGTTTGCCGAAGAGGGTGACAGATGATGTTTAAAGATAAACAATTTGATAATAAATCAATAAATTGGCTTAATTTCACCATAGATGTCTTCACAACAATCTATTTTTTAAAAATACATACAATTTTAATACATTCTAACTGATTTAGGCTGTTTAAAAGGCAGTTACGTTACTTCTGCACGGCACAGACCCAGAATAATGCATTTCCACATTTATTTATGTTGACTGTATGTTAGTCTACGTGTAGCACCTTACCTCCACAGCAAATTCCTTGTATGTGTAAAACACTACTTGGCAATAAAGCTTCTTCTTCTTCTTCTTCTTCTTTTTCATTTCATTCAAATATTCTATTTAATGTCCACTGTTTGCTAGCACACCATGTCAGGTATTTTGTCATTCAACTTGTTGGGGCGTTTGTCTGCCCACCAGCGGTCAGTTTGGTTCATTCAGAATGAAGTCATTGTGTGCCACTCTGTAGACAGAATATCACACAAAATTCAACTCAGACTGAATTTATGTTTTGGACTATGTCTAGTGTACCAGAGTCATTTCTTGGATATATAGGCGTGCAGGTGACTAGATTAGCAATAAGAAAACATTTAAAGTGTGTTGGTGCAAAAGAAGATTAAATTAAACACACGTGTATATACACGTCCTTGGATATGCCTGGCTGCAGACATGAATAATCTATAGAGCGGGGAACAAATTAAGAAGAAGGCAAATCACAACCATGAAAATCGGTCGAGAAGCACCTGACCCTGTTTTGTCGGCACTTGTGTATACATGTTGGCCGGTCTTTGCTTCCCAGTGAAGTGATGCTAAAATAAACACAACAATAATTAGGAAAAGGATACATTTTATAAGGAAAGCTCTTCAATGACATGATAAACAGCTGTAAAACTACAGTACAGCATAGGCCTGTGTGTGTTTCACTCAAAAAACTGAATTCATAACAATTGCAGGCAATATGGCAACAAGCCCTATTAGGTGCTATGCAAATCCAAAAGTATTAAAAAGTTTATAAAATTATATAATATTTATATATTATATAATTAAAATTGTAAACAAAAGTATGGCGTCATCATTACATACTAAATGTGATTTGTTTTGGTGAGTTTGATGGGATAGGTTTACGGATTTAAATAAGTTTCACATAGAGCATATTGATTTTATAATCAGCATTTGTATTAGTATATAGTTTGAACTTGAATATTGCTTTCAAGATTCATGCAGCATAGCATGCTCATATAACAGTCAACAATAACAACAACAAAGTAGTTAGATACTATTACTGTAACTTGCAACTTTAGTAAGTAAAATTATTACCTCAACATTGTCTTTGTTGACTGTATAGTCACATTCTCGTATTGAGTACATGTGTTCAAAAATCAAGTATTCAGCCTTATGAGGCTTTAGGATATAGAGGTATGTGCTTATAAAGATACAGGGTTCTTCCATTCATTTTCCTCTTTAGTCTCCATATGAATTTTGGCTTGTTGCAGATTTCTGTATTTCCCCTGTTGATCTTTGTTTCCTTGTAGGCTCTTAGCATAGCGTGACCTCCAGTCCCTTTGAAAAGCAGCCTTGAGGTCTTCCAAGATTGTCACTCCACCGTCTTTAGGATCATTTTTCATCTTGACCACTAGCCCAACTCCTGCATTAATGGCAAAGTCACTCCCAACCCAGTCATGGTTACCTGTGGACAAATGGCAAACCTTACATATTCTCTGTAAGAGGTCTCAAAAGATGACTCTGAGTCAGCTCCAGCACTGTATTTTTCTTTTCGGTGTGTATGTGCAGATACAGTTTGGTGCTTGTGTGTCAGTGTCTGCCTGTGAGTGGGCAAATATTTTAGTTCCACATTTGGAAAAAAATGTCTCTTCCTTTCTTGCTAAGGGCTTAGATGAGAAAATTGATAACTTTCTCATCTATTTCTGTTAAATATTAAGCAACAGCCAGGAAATGGTTAGCTTAGCTTAGCTAGTCTGGCTCTGTCCAAAGGTGAAGAAATCTGACCAGCACCCGCCTCTAAAGTTCACTCATTAACACGTTATATTTTCTTAAGTCCCTATGAAAAACAATATATATACAAAAGAAAAAAAAAAAAATGAGATGTTATTTGCAGTTATTTGCAGACTGTGACTTTCTCGAGTCTCTGCTGGTTTGTCTATTAACACACCTCACAGTGACAACAAGACTAGCAAACCCCCATAACTCCTGTATAGTCTGCTATACGACTGTAAACTGTAAACTAGCCAGCAACGGATGCACTGACAGTGTAGGTGGCAGTGTGTTTGTGCTTAGCTCAGCCTCTGAATGAGAGAACTCACCAGAGATTCAGGTTCTTTCTGTTATTTCCCTCATGTCTCCTCTCACCTTTGTTTATGAAGCAAATTCAATAAGCCCCTTGAAACAACAAAACACATGCAACTTTTGTTTTTGTTAAGATTGAACTTGATAATTAGCTTTAGAGGTGTCCTTTAAGCAGTTTTTTTTGCTTTGGACAGGGCCAGGCTAGTTGTTTCCCCCTGTTTTCAGTCTTTGTGCTAAACTCCTGGATGTAGCTTCATATTCTGATCTAACTCTCTGCCACAAAGCAAACAAGCCTATTTCCCAAACTGTCTACTATTCTATACTAGCACTATAAAAAATT